CTGCAAGACAATGAGGACTCTAATACACCAAATTGGTCAAGGAATCAGACCCGGAGCTCTGGCAGTAGCCAACAGGGAGAGAGTTTGGGAGTTTCTGCAGCAGAAAATTGCATTGTGAGTTATAGTAATAGCCTTTTGGAGTTCAATGGTAATTGTGCGCGGGTCCAGCCAAACTGTGAGACTAAAGCCTTGTGGCGTAAAGGAACAATTTGAAATGAGCTGCCATGGCGACGCTATAGTACCCACAGGAGACAATGATATACAGTCGCACCGATTTGAAGCCTGGAACTGAACATTAGATATGTAATTTAAAATGCAATGATGCCAAAACCAAATAGTGGAATGATAATTCACTTCCTCCTTCCTCTTTCTTAGTAAAATCAATTATTTATTTTATGGTTGAAGAGAATTTATGAGAAATTGCAATATAAAGATGTGAATTACAAGTCGGTTCTTTCCTGGCCTCCTTTTGAGCTTCGAACTCTCATTCAGAGAGGGAACTGTTCAGTTAAAACCCCACTTCTGATAAGCCCCCATAGTAGCTCTGTTCCAAATCCTAGTGAGCTACCTAACTAGACCATTTGAAGGCATCATAATTGTGTTCTTTACATGAAAGCTATTCATTAAAAAAAATAACACACAAGGACCAGTTATAATATCTGATAACAGCCAAACAGAAGGCAAATTATAAATATATATTCATTTATTTTTATTTTTAAAAGTATTATAAAATTAAAACGTTTATAAAATTTCCAAATAAACAACAAAATAATAGTACAACAAAATGTATTTTACTACATATATTTTAAAATATCATAAAATATATATATAATTTATATATTTTAAATATGCAGTTTAACTTAATTACTATTTTACCCAATATTTATGTTTGCTATGTTTTTTAAATTATAAATGTATATTAATAAAAAAAATTTAAGTGTTCAAAAAGAAAATATATTAATTTTCCTGTCTTGCAATATTTTTACATTTCATTTAATATATATATATATATATATATATATATATTTAAATATGCAAAGTTTACCCATACTGACTACTCTACCCAATATTTCTGTTTGCTATGTATTTTAAATTATACATATGTTCATTCAATTCTTAAATGTTAAATATGCTAAGCAAAAAATAAAAAAGAAAGATGTACATTTACTTTTATATCAAAATGTATTATATTATTATAATATATGTGTATATTATTATTATTATAATATACGTTTTTTTAAATAATAACAATAAAATCAATATTTTTTCAAATACGTTTATACATTTATATGATATAAAGTAATATAAGTTTAACATAATGACTACTTTACTTAACATTTGCATTTGTAATTAATTTTAATGTTAGTTAAAGTATATATTGTTAGCTTGTTGTGAGTTGAGTCTCCTGTGCACTAATGTGAGGTGTGTTTTGTGTTTCTGTCCATAAAAAGTGTTCCAAATCATTAAACGAATGCGATTCCAGTGAAGTTAGAATGCTCCCTTAGAATGTAGCTGCCTATGTAGGCCACAGACAGCGCTGCAGCTAAATAGGTTTTGGAACAGAGCTCTCTCGATGTAGAAAGCAAAAGAAGTTTCCAATTTAATAAGGTGAGACATAGCAGTCAAATGATCAAATAATCTCAAACAATCACAGAGATGGATGTGTCACGCAGCTCTGCGTCCTGTGTCGTGCAGAGTGTGTGCTTTGAGAAGTGCTGACAATAGGTGATTTTTCACCCAGACGGCCAGCAGCAGATCTGCGTTAATTAAGGTTCTGTAACGCACCTCGAAAGAGAATGAGTGCCATGCTAGCAGGCAACCATTACTAAAGCTTTTCCCAATCCGTGTCAAGGGCTGCTCACACTCTCTTTTTCTCTGGGTCGGACAAAGGGCTTGCTTTCGCGTTGAGTAGTAAACATAGAAAAACTGTGCTTTCGCTCAGCCTCACTCAAAATGAGCACATTAGATCAAGTGCAACACTTCTGAAGTCAAAAGGAAGACTGATGGTGTGACTGGAACTTTTAATGGTTTGCTTACATTTAACAGCTTTCTGTAAATCTGTCATGAGCAGGTAAATTTAATCAAACCCAACCTAAAGCCCTGGGCTCAGTCCAAATTCACATACTATTCCTGCTGCAAAGCCTGCAATGAATTTCCATCCTGGTTTAGGATGGTTTATGCTGGTTCATCGTGGTTTTGATGCTGATGCACTGTGATGTACGTTTAAGTTTGAATTATTGGCTTCATAAGAAATTCAAAAGTTTGAAAATCCGTAATTCAAAATCTAATTTCAAGCTGGAAATAACCTGAAAGATACTCTGAAATTCATCTTAATTTACAATTGTACTTTTTATTCAAGTTGTGTTGCTAATTTTTAATTTAAAAAAAAAAATTCTTAAATTAGAAAATAATGCACAATGGAAAGTGGTCTCAGACCAGTGTTATTTTAGTATTATTTATATACTATTATAGTATGTTATTACATGGTACTATGGAATACTTGATTCTGATTTGTCAGTCGCGACATTCCAAGGTATGTTATCCCTCGATAACAGCTGATGATAACACAGGCTCATCCGGGTAACTGAAGTCGGCGCTATAGTTACTCTTGCAAGGTACAGTTTTTCTTCGTGGAAGCTTTGCGTTTGGTTAGCTAATAAAATATTAATACTCGATTCAATATTGTGTACAGCTATTTAATTATGTCATCCTGGTATCAAGGACTCGCTCTCTCGTTTCATACAAACGCAGCTGCTGCCATTTTGCTACGACTGTTTTGTACACTTTAATGGATTATAAGATATACCTAACAAACTGGTTAGATTTTAAAACATTTTCATCTTAAATCAATATCTTTTATCGCCTTAATTATTTATGTGGTGAAATGTTGTGTAATAAGTGTTATGACTGCACCGTTTCCCTTAAATGTCCGTCTAGTTTGAACTTGACGCTTGCTCGAAACTACTGTGTTCACGGAAGCTTTGCGTTCAAATATTTCAACTCAAATCAATATTTGTCTAGTTATTTACTTATGTGGCAAGTAGCCATGTAATAAGCGGGATAATGTACATTCAGCCGGTTGTTATCGCAGAATAACCCCCTTCAGGGTGATACAAGACCTTTGTCTGGGGTTATTCTGCGATAACAACCGGCTGGATGTACATTATCCCTTGCATAATGTATCATAGCTTTTATTTATATACTTTCAGTTTTCATTTTAGTTTAGTTTTATTAATTTTGTTATATATGTATAGCTTGCTTCTGCCACAGGATAAAAAAAAAAGAGAAGGTAATTGCGACTTTTTATCCTGCAGTTCTAAGAAAAAAGTCAGAACTGTGAGATATAAACTCGCAATTGCAAGAAAACAATGGAAAGTGGTCTCAGACCAGTGTTATTTTAGTATTATTTATATACTATTATAGTATGTTATTACATGGTACTATGGAATACTTGATTCTGATTTGTCAGTCGCGACATTCCAAGGTATGTTATCCCTCGATAACAGCTGATGATAACACAGGCTCATCCGGGTAACTGAAGTCGGCGCTATAGTTACTCTTGCAAGGTACAGTTTTTCTTCGTGGAAGCTTTGCGTTTGGTTAGCTAATAAAATATTAATACTCGATTCAATATTGTGTACAGCTATTTAATTATGTCATCCTGGTATCAAGGACTCGCTCTCTCGTTTCATACAAACGCAGCTGCTGCCATTTTGCTACGACTGTTTTGTACACTTTAATGGATTATAAGATATACCTAACAAACTGGTTAGATTTTAAAACATTTTCATCTTAAATCAATATCTTTTATCGCCTTAATTATTTATGTGGTGAAATGTTGTGTAATAAGTGTTATGACTGCACCGTTTCCCTTAAATGTCCGTCTAGTTTGAACTTGACGCTTGCTCGAAACTACTGTGTTCACGGAAGCTTTGCGTTCAAATATTTCAACTCAAATCAATATTTGTCTAGTTATTTACTTATGTGGCAAGTAGCCGTGTAATAAGCGGGATAATGTACATTCAGCCGGTTGTTATCGCAGAATAACCCCCTTCAGGGTGATACAAGACCCTTGTCTGGGGTTATTCTGCGATAACAACCGGCTGGATGTACATTATCCCTTGCATAATGTATCATAGCTTTTATTTATATACTTTCAGTTTTCATTTTAGTTTAGTTTTATTAATTTTGTTATATATGTATAGCTTGCTTCTGCCACAGGATAAAAAAAAAAGAGAAGGTAATTGCGACTTTTTATCCTGCAGTTCTAAGAAAAAAGTCAGAACTGTGAGATATAAACTCGCAATTGCAAGAAATAACGAGTACTTTTTTCTATTCCATGTTGGAAACAAAAAATAGAAACGCAAGATGTAAATTCAGACTTCTGAGGAATTTATATCTTTTATATTTTAGAGTTTATTTCTCTCAATTTTTGAGTTTATATTTTGCAATTCTGACTTTTTTTAGAATTGTGAGAATAATGCCTTAAAACGAGTACTTTTTTCTATTCCATGTTGGAAACAAAAAATAGAAACGCAAGATGTAAATTCAGACTTCTGAGGAATTTATATCTTTTATATTTTAGAGTTTATATCTCTCAATTTTTGAGTTTATATTTTGCAATTCTGACTTTTTTTAGAATTGTGAGAATAATGCCTTACATACTTTATGTGGTTTTGTAATTTTATTCGTTTTATTTCAGTTTTAGCTTTAATTTTAGTACTTCAACTTCAACTTTTCTGATTTTCCTGAATTTTCATTTCAGTTTTTAGTTTAAGCTAATAATATTTACATTTATATTTTATTTCAGCTTTATTTCAATTACCAAAAATGATTTTTAATCATTTAATTAACAATAACAACATTGTCTCAGACTATAATTTAATATGAGAAGAGCAGTATGTACGTTCTACACTTAGTTGGCATAAAATTAATTGTCTACTGTACATAATAATTCATAGGAATTAAACTGTGGACATTACAAAGATGCTGGTGCTTACCGGTGTACTCAGGGTCCACATGAGGAGGATAGAAACGGAAGTTGATGAAGAAGGGAATAGGCACACCGAATTTGAACCACTCCACCACATAGGGAGTCTGCTGGCCGTTTAGGGGGTGGCTCACGTCACATCCCAAAACAACACTATCTCCTGCACGGGCCGTCACAAACTGGGGCTCCTCTCTCACTCCGTGGGCACCTGGACACAAAAAACACAGACATATTCAGCACCGTGTAAAACTAAAATAAAATAAAAATCTTTTTATGTTTTATTTAATTTACTAATTAAAAATGAGGAAAAAATGGGGAGTGGGTTCAGGAACTTTAGCAGGCCAGACTTGAATCTGCATCCTCAGAAGCACTGCAGCTCTAACAACAAATCAACAAAAAAAATCTGCAGATTTAAGTGCATGTTTGCCACATTTGTCCCTAAGAACTACGGTATAAGTGAGGTGTCAAACTGCTCATTGTCCTATTTAACAAACATTTGTTGTTAAGACTTGGATAGTTTCCCAAATGCTGGACTTGTGAAAGTTCTCAGGTAATTATTACTTAAAAGGAACGGCCAACTAGATAATGAGATGACAAGAGGCTTATCCACGCACCTCACTGATCTCAGCTAATTCACACTTGGATGGCTTTTACAATGGATGGGCCAGAGTTTTAGAAATCAATGCACAAGCATGTCACATGCCTATGGGTGACCTATCGGAACGCTAAAGGTCATTGTACCTGCCTCAGCAGAAAATATATTGGAGGAATGGATTTTCTTCAGCTAGCTCCACCACAGCCATTGAGCACTTTCTCCTCTATCAGTTAACATGGCTTCAGCGCCTCAATGAAGGGGAAAATCACCTCCGGGATCAAAGGACCTGCTGACGGTGCATTCTCCACCACGGAGACACTGTATGGAAAACTAAGTGATTCAGTAACAGTAAAATGTAAGAAAAAAGTAGGTTTCAAAAACAGCGCTCTCTGTCTTTCCCTGATTACTATATACTAAACAAAAAACACTACAAATTTTATAACATTAAACTACCACTAAAGCACAAAGTTACACATCGGAATGTGTTTTACAGAACTATTTATTTACCAATTTAACACTGAACTATAACGTACATCATGGCAGTACAACTTAAAGCTGCAGTCCGTAACTTTTGGCGCTCTAGCGGTTAATAAACAGAACTGCGTGCGTCTTGCGGAAGAACATTGTAGCCGGAGCTACTTCTCTCTGTTTATGTCTATGGCGAATCACGCAGGTGCTGGGCTACTCCGCAGCGGTACCTACCCAGACCAGTCTAAATAGTCCGAATATAAACACTTATTATAGGTGTACCGTAGTGATTCAGGACAAGCCAAAAACACGGTTTTGAAAATGGATTCATATACTCGCTTATTATATACATTTTGTAAATTTTGAACACAAAAAAGGTACGGACTACAGTTTTAACATGGTTAACTTGACAAAACTAGGCTAATGTCTTGTGGTTCAGTAAGAGTAAGTAAAGAACCGATCAGATTTACACTACCATTCAAAAGTTTGGATTTTTTCAAAAGAAACGTATACTTTTATTCAGAAAGGATGTATTAATTTGATCAAAAGTGACAGTTAAGACATTTACAGAAAAAAACTAAGCAGCACAACTGTTTTCAACATTGATAAAGATAAGAAATGTTTCTTGAGAATCAGCATATTAGAATAATTTCTGAAGGATCATGTGACATGAAGACTGTAATGACTGCTGAAAATTCAAATTCATAAATATATTCAAATAAAAAATTTTTTTATTTTTATTTATTTATTTTATTGTATGATTACTTTGTATTGTGTCACATTGTCCAGTCTTTCTCTCTTATCACACTGAAGTCAGACTGTAAGCTCACAATTCAGGTAAAACGAATATGTAAAAGCATTGATTTGGAAGATTCAATTAAATAACATCAGTGCAGGAAACACTGTCAGGAATATTTTAGCTTGGAGTTTCGATCCGCACTGATAGAAAAATGCAACTGAACATTATGGAAATCATTAACTTTCAGTAAGTTTAAAAAAATAACAACCGTTTCTTAACTTTTAACCAAAATCATATGCAACTGTGATTTTGTTTACCAGTTTAATCAGCTTTATCCAGTGGAAGCGTTAATCCACTTTATTGATTTAGCTCACACAGTTTTTGGACTGAAACAGTGCAGATTTAATCAAATTACTCCTTTCCTAAAGTAAAGCTTGGACCCTCCAGTCACGGGCCTGGGCCTTGAAATCCGCTCTACTGTTGTGAGCGTAGATGATTGCAAAGTACCACAAAGAGAGCAGCTTAACTTTAATTAGAGACCAACAGTGTGCATGCTTAACCATAAACTCACTACAATCTGCACATGACCAGCACAGAGCAGGTTCACAAAGAGCATTTCAGCGAGCCGTAAATGTGGGTCAGGGAGCCCAACGTTTAGCCTTGTTAGAATGGGCTAACTGTCATATTTTAACACTTCTGCATGGTTGGGAGCATATATACTGTAATAAAAATGTTGCAAGATAAAAAATTGCTCATTGCACATTGGAATCTCACATAATTAACACTCCACTTATTCTGCTAACAAGCAATATAGCTATATTTAGACTGTTTATTTTTATAGCTGCTACATACTTATTCTAACAGTTTATTTTTTCCCACTGAGATCCACTTGTAATTTTAGTCGCTCTCTGATCCTTTAAATCAGGAGTGGAATACTTTCCTGCCTTACTTATTGTTAGTTCTCGTAATTTCTAAATATTATCTAACCCACTTCCTCCTTATTACCTCACTGCAGGGCTTCAAACTTACATATTTTATATTCTATATGGTGGCACCAGCACCTGATATGATAGCACTAGTAGAGGAGTGAGGGCTTATAAAAAAAAAAAGTATAGGGACAGAAACCATTAACAATGGCGATATATTGTATTTTACAAGTAAGAGCAGTTACCGGTAATATTACATAGTTAAGCTCATTCAAAAAGCACATTCAACCGTAAATCACCATAACTCACAAATGTCCAGGCTATGCAGTGCATGATTCTAATTTGATACTCACTTAAAAATAAACCATAGTTTGTCTACAGTATCTATACTTTTACCAACGATATGCCATGGTTACACTAGATTTTGAGCACACAAAATTTCTACAGACACTATTTATAATATGGCGTCACACTCTTATCTCTGTGAAGCCACTTTGACACAATCTGTATTGTATAATGCGCTAGAAAAATAAAGGTGACTTAACTTGACTCTGTGCATCTTTTAAAAAATATAATTTAATGTATAATACAAAATCGAAGAAATATACAAAATCGAAGAAATATTTAATCTGATCCAATTTGCAACGCTGTTATCCTGCAGATTTACAGGTTACTTTCTTTATATTCAGTTAAGAGGCCACAATGCGACATGTCCATCTTGATCACACATCTTCACATGATATGAATTTGCAGGTCAGAGCTCACCAAACAAACTTTGGAATGCAGTGAAATTCGCATGAGCTTGTGTTTCCTGAATAAAAATCAATGGAATGAAAAGTGTAGTGTGTCCACCTCAATATTCATAGACCTTCGCATCCACAACCACGCATGACTTCTCACAACAATGATTGGATTTAACTATGGTTTCTGTCTTTATGATTTCTATGTTATTTATGTTGAAAAACAGTAGTCTAATCACAGTTATAAAATAAAATACAAAAAAAGCAACTTATGAAATATGAAATTATATTCACTTAGCCTACTCCCCGAACAAATGCAATGAAAACAAATGACTAACTATATTAACAACATAAAAATATATTATATAAATCTAATATTGCATGAATACCAAATTTATTTGTAAAGGTGGTGAATTGTGAATTTAAAAGCCTATTTAGCATTAGAATTATTTCATATAGCTTTAAACTAGGTTAAGCAGAGACATTTGGGGTTTGTAGCAGAATTCTCTGGCGAATTCAAACACTTCTCACTGAATCTCATGGCGTTGTTTCATTTTAAAGGGGTCATATGATGCGATTTCAAGTTTTCCTTTCTCTTTGGAGTGTTACAAGCTCTTGGTGCATAAAGAAGATCTGTAAAGTTGCAAAGACTAAAGTCTCAAATCCAAAGAGATATTCTTTATAAAAATTAAGAGTCAACCACGCCTACCTAAAACGGCTCATTATAACACGCCCCCACATATCTACCTCACTATGTGGAAATATTAGCATAATGCCGCCCAAATGTGCACGCAAAGGAGAAGTGCTCACTAACACAGATTTACAGATTTGTGAACAATATTTGAGAGAAATAGGCCTTCTGTGTACATAGAAAAAGTCTTAGATCTTTGAGTTCAGCTCATGAAAAATGGGGGCAAAAACAAAAGTGTTGCGTTTATAATTTTGTTCAGTATAATTACTCAGCACATTAGCAGCAAAACGTCCATTCTTAGGAATAGAATCTGTGTGTGTGTGTGTGTGTGTGTGTTTACAGAACCGACTATAAGCCACTACAAACCATGAATGATTCGACTCAAAGAGGAGCTCTTGGTGGTGTGACTCCCTCCCTTTCTGAGACACAAACAACCAAGCTAAATGGTTACTAAAGCTCAGACAATCCTGAACTTAAAATCCCTTTCCACCAACAGATGGAATTATCCACTATCAAGATGAATAAACTAATGCCAACATGCTGGAAGCTGACGAGTAAATTTGTTTATATTCATCACAATTAGATGCAGTTATACAGATTATACAATTCACAATACAGTACAGTCTTTTCATGTTCACTAATGGTATAAACTAATGCTATATGATGGAAATTACTCAGCACATCAGCAGCAAAACCACACGGTCCTGAGATCAAGCGTAATCTTGATGCGCAGAGAGGCAGCGTTAGTCTCCCTGCCAACAGGGCCATTGGGACACATCATGAATAGGCAATCAAATGGAGAACAGAGCAGAGGTGGGTTCTCAAGGACACTAACCCACTCAGCTGCACAAGCCACTGACAAATGTAACTGAATGCCAGCCTGAACATGATGAAGGTCACTTCTCAGAGAGCTATGTGTCAGAGCTGCCCAAAGAATGCAACACATGCTGTGAGGATGAGTGACCAGGGTCTAGATATAGACATACTACATGCCTTCTCTAACTAACTTCATTGATGCTCTTGTCTGAATGGGAGCAAATTTCTCAATC